CTGGAATCTTCCAATAATCTCACTGTGTCCTTGACTTGCTGTTCAGCGAAAGAATTCTCTCAGTCAAGTTATTGTATTGTGTTGGGGAAAGTGGTGGGGGTATTGGTACTGCCTAGGGCCTGGGCACTATTCCTGAACTTTTTTGCTCAAAGCTCTCTATCACTTCTGGGTTTTAGTGGTTAATAGGAGATAAGTCTGCAGACTTCCCTGCCTGGGCTAGCTTTGAGCTGTCATCCTCAGATCTCAGCCCCTGAGTAGCTAGGGTTAGAGGTATGAGCCACTGGCACCCAGATACAGTACCATGACTTTTGAAGAGTAGAATTGCTCTTACTATTAAGATCAATTATACCTTGTACTTGTCCTTTGTTTTAGGTCTGTTCTACATTCTTTCCTTCCTAGTATGAGTATACCCTTTATAAAATCAGCAGTTTGGCCAGTTGAAAATAGACAAGAGGTACATTGTGAGATTTAACATGCTAGGTATTTGCTGAGTGAGTCTGTAGCAAACACTGCAGGAAGGATACATTTACTGAGTAACCACTGTCTAGGACTCCATCCTAGAAATACACTAGGGCATCACAGTAACTCAAAATTAAATACATATTAGGTTCCTAAGTTATAGTTGATCTCAAGTTTTATTTTCTAAATTTGGCCATTAGTAAATTATTGTAGGTACCTTCCACCCTGATTCTGCTAGATTTTATACTCTTGTTGTCATTACCACCCAATGGGTACAATCTGCAAGGGACCCTTCTTGTTACTCAAAATCTGAATATAAAAATAACAAGCATATGCAATTTACCTTTTATAATTCAGTCACATGATTACATCTAGGAGGCTAGGAGATAAACTGTTGCTGTATACTGAAAACAAAAAGGAAGACTTTGACCATCAGTTTACAGTACTTGAAAACTTTATTAAGAGCTCATATTCTGAGAGCTGATTTTTAAATTTGTTTTTTGCCAGTCCTGGGACTTAAACTCTGGGCCTGGGCACTGTCCTTGAACTTTTGTGCTTTTGTGCTCAAGGCTAGTGTTGTACCATTTGAGCAATGGCTCTACTTCCATCTTTTCTTGTAGCTTAATGGAAATAAGAATCTCATGGACAGGGCTGGGAAGGTGGCTCAGTGGTAGAGTGCTTGCCTTGCATGCTCGAGGCCCTGAGTTCGATTCCTCAGCCCCACATAAGCAAAAAGAAAGAAGCCGGAAGTGGCGCTGGGGCTCAAGTGGTAGAGCACTAGCCTTGAGCTGAAGAGCTGAGGGACAGCGTCCAGGCCCAGAGTTCAGGCCCCACGACCGGACACCCCCCCCAAAAAAAAAGAATCTCATGGACTTTCCTCACAGTCTGGCTTCAAACTGTGCTTCTCAGATCTCAGCTTCCTGAGTAGCTAGGATTACAGGTGTGAGCCACCAGCACTTGGGTGAGAGCTGAATATTTGACACTAAAAATAGTGATTGAATAAGCTGTTCATTAGCCATTCACCCTTTATATGGTCAAAATAAGGTTGTTTTTGAGGGACAGCATGGTTGTCTCTCAAGTTTAGGGATAAACCCACATTCCAAATATCTGAGTTATAATCCCTTTTTTAAATGCACTAATACGGGGCTGGGAAGGTGGCTCGGTGGTACAATGTTTGTCTTGCATGTGTGAGGCTCTGGGTTCGATTCCTCAGCACCACAAAAGCAGAAAAAGCAGGAAGTGGCACTGTGGCTCAAGTGGTAGAGCACTAGCCTTGAGCTGAAGAGCTGAGGGTCAGCACCCAGGCCCAGAGTTCAGGCCCCACAACTGACCAAAAAACAAACAAAAAAAAAACAGTACTAATGTTTTCAGCCTATCTTACAGCTGAAAGTAAAAATAATGGGATTTTTTTTTTTAACTTAAAGTTTCTTTGGGGCCATGTACAGTGGCTTACACCTGTAACTGCTGCTTAGGTCAGTCCAGAGAAAAAAGTTACCAGGACTCTATCTCATTCCAAAAGGCAGGAATAGTGGTGTACATCTGTGACTCCAGCTACACAGGAGGATCACAATCTGAGACTTGCCTGGACAAAAATAGGAGACTTACACCTACCCTCCTAGGCACTTATAGGAAGCTAAGAAAGGGAGGCTCATGGTTTGAAGCCAGCCCGGGTACCCCCTCCCCCAAAAAAAAGAAAGTTTCTAAGATTCCTCATTTCATAGTTGGTAATGCTGGTGCATGCCTATTATCATTAAAGCACCATGGGAGACTGAGATGCAAAGGACAGAAGTTCAAAGCCAGCCTAGGCAGAAGAGTTTTTTTTAAGATTCCATTTAAACAAAAAGAAGCTGGGGACAATGGCACACACCTGCCATGTCAGCTAGGACAAGAGGCCTAAAGCAGGTTAATTGTCATCCTGGTGGTAACCTAGGCAGAAAACAAGACTATCTGAAAAATAACCAGTGGAGAAAAAAAGGACTGGAAGTATGATTAATCAGCAGAGCACTAGCAAGTGTGAAGCCTTCTGTTCAATCTCTAGAATGGCTAATAAAAACACTCAAACCCTATCTCAAAAATAATTAAAGCAAGGGCTGGGAAAGTGGCTCAGTAGTAGAATGCTTGCCTTGCATGCATGAGGCCCTGGGTTTGATTCCTCAGCACCACCTAAGCAGAAAAGCCAGAAGTGGCACTGTGGCTCAAGTGGTAGAACATTAACCTTGAGCTGAAGAGCTGAAGAACAATGCTCAGGCCCAGAGTTCAGGCCCTATGACCAACCAATAATAATAATAATAATAATAAAAGCAAAAAGAAGCTGAGAGCATAGCTCAAAGTGTTAGAGCATCCAGGGTAGGGCTTTGAGTTCAAACCCCAGTACCACCAAATACAATGCTTTTTAATGGATGGTAATACCTAACTTAGGAATAAATAATTCTAATAAGTCAATGGCTTTTCCCTGTGCCACCTCCCCCCACACACACACATAATTTGCAGTTTTTAAACACTGTGATTTAATTTCCTTCTCACCATACTATGGATGTTTCATCATATGAATTAATTTCCTCGACATCAGAACTGGATGACCCTTCCAGGTATGGCTGCATCATGATCTACAAAGGCATGTTTTTTTTTCCTATTATGCATCCAACTGTGTTCTGAGTGATGCCAGGATTCAATCAACACTTGCTAAACTATATCCTGTGTTCACTGCTGCTTGATATTGGGAAATAGTATTCCTCTCCATTTTCTACCTAATTAGCACAAAATATTTCTTTGGAAATATTGTGTACTTACTTCTAAGTACTCAGACCCATCAGTTCAGTATTTTCCCTTAAATTGTTCCTTACTTTTTTTGTGTTTGAGTCCTGAGGCTTGAACTCAGGGCCTGGGCTCTGTCCCTGAGCCTCTCTGTGCTCAAGACTAGCCATAGCACTATTTTCAGCTTTTTGTGGGTAGTTTATTGGAGATAAGAATCTCACAAACTTTCCTGCCTGGGCTAAGAACCATGATCCTCTAATCTCAGCCTTCAGAGTAGTTTGGATTATAGGTGTGAGCCACTGGTGCCCAGCTGTTCCTTACATTCTTAATTATTTTCCTCAACATCTTTTCTTCTACCCTTTCAATATATTCTCTAAAACTATAAACCTTGTTAATCTTCAAAAAATTTGTTTACAGACCAGTTTGCCACAGGGTATTTCCAGATGAACATTTCTTCCTTTTAATCTTATTAAAGATCTATGAAACATTCTTCATTTACAAAGAGATACAAGGAAAAATTATACAATCAATTTGCATCTTAAGAGAAAAAGAAAGCAAAATGGCATTTTGTTTGTCTTTTGTCCTGGTACTGGGCTCAAACTCAGGGTGTCAAGCTCTCTGTTGGCTTTTTGCTCAATTGCTGGCATTCTATACTTGAGCCATATCTCAAGATTAGCTTTTTGCTGGCTAAATGGAGATAAGAATCTAAAGGTTTTTGTCTGCCCATGCTGGCCTCACACCTTGATACTGAAATCTCAGCCTCTTGAGTAGCTAGAATTATAGGTGTGAGCCACTAGGATAGCACATGGTAAGAAAACTGTTTTGATACATACAGGATTCACTATTCCTTTGGATGTAGGGTTTTTTTGTTTTGTTTTGTTCTTCAGAATTTGGGTTCTTGGTTTTGTTCTTCAGAATCTGGGTTCTAAAAAGATCATATTCCATTAAAAGGTTCATTTATCTGCTCAAGAATACTTTTATTAGAAATTATTTCTGAAAGCTTCTTGACTACAGTTTGGTGTTATTTTTATTTGGTATTACCATATTTGTTGTTCTTCACTAATTTTTCAGCTGTGTTTATAAATATTAACCCTTATTTCATGTAAAAAAAAAGATGGGAGTAAATTAACCTCTTTCACTAGAAATGAAAATCCTCATACCAGACAGATATCTAATTAAGATCAGTTAGCTCAGTACTGATCTATAAGCTATAGATAATTGATAAATTAGTTAGCATAGTAACTGGCACCTCTCTTATACAAAGTTTAAGCTATTAGAAGAACTCACATGAATTTAGGTCTGCTCCCATTTAATAATAGATTGGGGTGGAGAGACACTTAATACTATTAAAAATCTTTTCACATGTTAAAATTCCACCTTCAAAATTAATTGCTGACAAAAACTGATGATTTGGGGTCATGGAAATTTCTCTCATCTAAGTGCTCTTAACAAAAGATGCTTTTACAATGCATTACAAAATGTGTAAGATGAGCTGTCCAGACTGCTTGATATACTTCAGATATTTCTCTTAAAGTAGGAAAAAAACTTACAATGTTGTAGTTCTTTGGTTTTATTTTGAGATTTTAAAAAAAAGTATAGGTGTAAATGTTTTTAAATAGGCTTCTTGATGATATGGGTCTTTTTATTTCTTTAGGATGGGCCTGGGGTCTTGAACTTAGGGCCTAAGTGCTGTCCCTGAGTTTTTGTTTTTTTTTTTCCCTCAAGGATAGAGCCCTCTATCACTTGAACCATAGCTCTATCTCTGGCTCGATTAGAGTAAGAGTCTATGGCTTTTCCTGCCCATGCAGGCTTTGAATCATAATCCTCAGATATCAACCTTGTAAGCCACCAGAGCCTGGCTTGATGATATCCTTTAAGATAATTAATCAAATGGCTGATCATAAATATTCATCAATGCCACTGTCTACCTTAATTAAGTGGTTGAAATTTCCAGAGTGCAATAACCTTTTCCCAATCCCTGAGAATCATGATCACCACAGAAATACTTTATCCTCTCCTCAAAAATTTCTGGAAAGTAGTGGTGTTCGTTCATTGGCAACAGGGCACGGGGCAGTGTCATAGAGGGATAATCCATGTAAATTGGCTTCCACTCGCAAAGAAATTTTCTGGAATAGAAAAGAAAATTATATAGGGAAGTTTACTCCTTGAAGAGGGATGATCTGGGTAAAGTTACTCTTTAGAATATCCTATGTGATTAGAAATAAACATTCATCTAACAGATAGCAAGAGAGCTACTGCATCACCAAAGGTATCATCCTCAGGACCAAATGTAAAGAAAAACAACGTTCTCTATTTAGAAAGTTCTCCATTTTTCTTTTTTTTTAAATGAAAAGTTAGTAAAACTAAATATTTAAGGTAGCCTATGTAAATGTACACAGATTACAAAAATTCAATGAAGGAATTTCTTCACCTGTGTGTGTGCACACGCACATGTGTATGCATGTGTGCATTTACGTGCATGTGCACCAGTCTTGGGACTGGAACTCAGGACCTGGGCACCGTCCCTAAGCATTTTTGCTCAGGACCAGCACTCTACCACTTGAGCCACAGCTCCACTTTTGGATTTTTGTGGTGATTAACTGGAGATGAAAGTCTCATAGACTTTCCTGCCTGGGCTGGTTTTGATCCATGATCCTCAGATCTCAACCTTCTGAAGTACTATGATTACAGGAATAAGCCACCAGCACCCAGCTATGAAATGTTTTCACAACTGAGTATATGGAAATATAGCAATCTACTACTTCCTCCAACTCAGGAACCATTTCAACGGAGAAGTTATTCTTGCATCTATTAATGTTTATAGTTTATGATTGTGATGTCAAATTTTAAAGTTAATTGTTAAAAAAATTAGACACAATGGAATATTCTGTTATTCCACTTGAAACAAGTTAGACTGTATATACTGAATACTGTTTTCTTACCTGAAAATCACGAACATATGTCAGAAAAAAGCCCAAGAAGGAAAATGACATAGACCATTCTGCTGCTGTAGTAACCAAGTGAAGTACATAACCCTTGAGTGACAGAAAAAAAGCATAGTTTTATAAAATTTTATTGAAATAATTCATAATACTCTTTAAATTAAAAAATTCAAATTCTCACCAGGTATTGGTGGCTCATGCCTAGCTACTCAGGAGGCTGAGATCTGAGCATCATGGTTCAAAGCCAGCCCAGTCAGGAAAGTCTGTGAGACTTTTATCTCCACAAAACTACCAAAAAGTAGTGCTGTGGCTCAAGTGTAGAGCACTAGCCTTTAGCAAAAGAAACTCAGAGACATCATCCAGGCTCTGAATTCAAGTCCTAGAACTGATACACACACACACACACACACACACACACACACGCACGCACGCACATGCACATGCACACGCATGCACACACAAAATTTCAAAAGACCAATCCACCTTCTGATCTATTGGAAATACCTTGAGAACTAAAGAGCAGACATTAAATATTTTAATTTTACTTAGAACAAATGAAACTTACACCTAAATAACTAAGGCATAACAGAATCATGGAACGAAGATTAGGAATGTTCTCCATAAACTTTTAATAAGGTCTATTTGTAGAATTTTAAATATGTACTTTATAATTAGGAGAATCTAATAAGTTATTTCATTCAGTTTTAAAAGCTAATCCTAGGGCAAATTCTAAAAATAAATGGTTTAAAATAAAACTAAATAAATATCAGCTTGGGAATAAAATATCAGTTTGTGAAAACAGATAAATGTGCTTTATCACTTAGTGTATATATATATATATATACACACACACACACACATATATATATACTAGACAATAAGAATTTGGAGGAGACATCTTTTTAATTATGAAAACAAGTGTTTAGAAGGAGAGACATGGAAGGAGGGAAAAGAAAGGAAAGAAGGGAAGGTTAAAAAAAAGAAATGAAAGAAAGAATGAAAAAAAGAAGAGAAAGGAAGAAAAGATAGAGAGAGAAAGAAAAGAAAGAAAAAAAAAGAAAAGAAAGAGAAAACCCTCAGTTGGGCGTATTGTATACTATATCCATATTCTGGAGAGCCAACATCCTGGGAAACTGTTCCCTTCATGTCCTGAAAAGATCCACATTTCTCAGGTGTCAGGAAAATACGAATAAATTCTACATAAACTCTATCTAAAAAATATTCCCAATACATAGTCATTCTACTAAAAAGGACTCACTGTTGGTAGCAAAATGAAAACGTATCAAAATAAACCAAAATAATCATCTTCAAAGCTAAGCTTTATACTCTCCAAGTTCTTACTTTGTCCTCTGAATTCCAGTGGAGTTTCTGATATATATCAATGCCAAAATCACCACTGTACAAAATGACTGAGCTAGTCAACACTATAGAAAAATGTCAAGGAAGAATCTCAGAGATTTGTTAAGTTTTAAACCCATAGAACCAAAACAAAAAAATCACTTTGAAAGTCTAAAAGAGTAACTCAGACATGTATAACCATCCATTTTCTTAAAGAATTAATATCACATGACAGTAGTGAAACTACAACTACCCAATATATCACCAAAAAATAGTTCTTACAGCTAATCCCTCACTACTTTGGTTGGAAAATGAACAATTCTATCCTAACAGACTCTGGCTAGCTAACTTTGTAGGGAGGACATTAACTCAGCTTTCATTTCTTTGAATCTGATATGATTAGGCTAAATACTGGCTTTATTCCTGATTCCCTTACTACATTTCAATCTGCATTTCAGGTTTCAAATCCTTCGGGTTAGGATTACTAACCCCTCAAAAGCTGCTGCCCACTAGGGTGCTCACTGAAATTCTATGGTTCAATTCCCCTCCAACTGTAGTCACACTTTTCAGTGAAGGATACTGCTCAATGCACTCACTCCACACCAGATCACCAGCAGTAGTCGGATCCAAAAGATTTGTTTACTGTGAATTTTGGGCTGCATTTTGTAGGAAAGGATGGTCTGAACAAACATATACAACGAGCCCATGCTGAATGTAACCACAGCTCCAGTTTCATGCACAACAAAAATGGTTGTTTTCTGAGAAGCAGAAAAAAGGAATACGTCACAACTTCGTGCAAATACATTTAAATGCAAGAGACACCGCCCCCACCCCAAGGCATTCATTGAGCCAAGGAGCTCAGAAAATTCTAAATTATTTCCTTCAGTCATTTTTGCTCACAGTATTCAACATAAATCTGTAGGTTACAGCACACCTTAATGATTTCATATTCTACCACTGAAAAATGAACAAAATTTTGCTCACTTAAACATATGGCTTGGGTCTGGGAAGGTGGCTCAGTGGTAGAGCACTTGCCTTGCACGCATGAGGCCCTGGGTTCGATTCCTCAGCACCACATAAGCAAAAAAGAAAAAAAGCCAGAAGTGGCACTGTGGCTCAAGTGGTAGAGTGCTAGCCTTGAGCTGAAGAGCTGAAGGACAGCGCCCAGGCCCAGAGTTCAG